ATCTTTCCTGAAAATAGTTATTCCATCACCATTCTACAAACAATACTTTCATGTCCACTTACACCTCTTCCAACTGCAAAAACCCTTGGAGATATTGGTATGCTATCATACTAAGCTTATAATCTTTTTTAAAATAATAATAATTAGACTGTAAATCCCATATTTGGTGATGCCACTCCTCTATTTTTTTTTATTATATCAAATGCTTAGGAATATGTAATTTATTATGATATTATTAGATAAGCTATACATAAGGATACAGATCTCGAAACTCCTTAAACACAATGAATTAACACCTTTCCATTATTTTTCTTTGCGTCTTCAATTATAGATATTGCTTCATAGAATATACATTCTATATTCTCAGTTTTAGAATCTTTTAAATAGTATGTTTAATATGAAAAATCATTAGGAAATTTATTCTTACAAACATCACCTGCACAATTAATTACATGTGTGACTCCTATCTATTTCAATATTTCTTTATTATAAGCAATTTGCTCTCCTCCTACATACAAAAACTCTGGAATAACTGAAGAACATTATTCAGAAAAGTATTATATTTTTAATTTCTTCCTATCTGTATCTCTTATATCAAAGTTAAATCCATTTGACTCTTCTTATTCAATATCCTTATATGTTGTGTTATCTCTTTGCAATTTTAAATTATCTAGATGCAATTTCATGGGTATAGCTTTTTCATTTTCTTAATTCTCTACTACTTCAATCAAAGGTACTCCTACACTTATTTCTTAAGAGTTTGTCTTGCAATTTAAATCTAATTTTGGTATATTTAAAGTAGGCACTTTATTTCTTAATTAACTAGGTAAATTGATTTAATTATTAATTAATTAAGAAGTACTAATATTCTCATCTTCTTTATTATATATATTTGAATGTGTATTAGAATTTTATATAGAAGGAGAAATGGATTCTTGAATCTCATTTGAATTACATCTAGGTTTTATTTAATCATAATCCCTAGGTTATGCTTCATTAATAAGTAATAATTTCTATGAAGAGTCTTATAAATTTGTTTAGATTTATTGAGGTAAATCCATTTAAATAAATTATTAGGTATAATTATAAGGTATCTCTTACTTTTTTGCTATAAAATTAGCTAATTTTGAGAAATCTTACTTTTTTTCAGGAATTGGAAACAAAAAATTGAATAAGTATATTGTTTATCGTATTTAATTTTAACTTATTATATTTGGGGTTTAAGTTTAAGCTGTGCTTTACAATGTTAAAATTGAACCCTTTGATAAATTCTTATTTTTAATTGCACATCCATTAAAAAGGATCTCTAATAAAGGATCTCTTCCTTTGTTTAATAAATTTTCTAATTCAAATGCATTAGACAATGCCTATGCTTTTATTAAAGGATTTGCTGTTTTTCCATTCCAAACAAATATCATATACTCAAAAATGTTAGAAGTTGATGGGTTCAGTTGTCTTTAGGGTAATAAAAAAGATTCAAGATAACTTTCAGATGCTACTACTGGACTTTCTAATCCTCTTGGAGTTAAATTTGAATAAGATTCTACTAGTCCCCACATTTAATGAGGAAAGTTCGTAAATTGATTAAACTCTATGTCTTAATTATAACACTTTACCTTCATGAGCTTTTTTGTAAACTAACATTACTAAATAACATTCATTTGATAGAAAATTAAATCCATTTGTCTATATTTAGTTTAGATTTATTGGTTCAGACTTTACCTTCTTAATATAGAGTTTGTCTTCATAAAATTTCCAAATCTGTCATTTTTGAAATAATTATACTTTCAAGTGCTAGGTTATAGAGTTCGAAATGTTGTTATCGAATTTAACCTTCTCTATTAATTTAATATTTAATTCTAATATGTCTTCTAAATTTGAAACATGTTTGTCAATACTCAATTTAGTTCCCATAGTTTATATAATTATTAATCTTTATTTTTTTATGGTATAAAATAATTTAATATTATATTTCATATCTTATGTTTGGCTAAAAATAATATTGTATGATTTATTATGGATGATAATTAAATAGATCATAAATTAATCAAGAATTGTTAATTATATATTATATCTAAAATAAGTAATTTTCTATATTTCTAAATATATTCTTTAGTATTTAGAAATAATAAAAAAGTCAGAATTATAATAATAATAAATAGAATTAACTCATCAATTTTAACTTACAAAAAAAGAGTTATAATATTACTCTTATTTTATATAACTTTTGTTTGAAATCAAAATATTTCATTTCTTCCATTTAATTCCTATCTCTATTTAAAATATGATGATCTATAAGTTCAATATATAGTATTATGATTAAATTGAAAAATATTCAAGAATCCCTATATACATTAATTTATAATAAATAAATCTTAATATATATTATTAAGTTCTTATAATATTCAACAACATTAAATTTCAAATCATAAATAGGTTTAATCTTGTATTTCATAATTGAAGTGGCTTTATACATCTCAACCTTAATTAATTCAGTTTCAACAATTATTATTAAAAAACAATAAACAGAATTTGAATTTATCTCAAAATATAAAAAAAAGAAATTCTAATATTAAAATATTTATATCAAAAGAATTGCTTCAAGTTTTGAATAGATTAAATACAACTGAATTTAATCTTAAATTTGAAGTATAAAATAATAATTTTTAAAGTTTTTTCCTTAAATTAGATTTCATTACATTTTTTGATATTAATAATATATATTATGATTTGCAAATATTTTGTTAATTCAATGTTATTCAATCTTATTCAAATTTCTCTATTTACCATAATAGAAATATGAAATAATATTCTATTTATATTAAAGAATTCATTAATAATGAGTTAATATTCTAATAAAGGTTTAGTATAAATTTTTCTTAGTATTAACTTTTATTATTACTTAAAAACTATTTAATACTATTTATACTATTAACTAATTCAGAAAAAACAATAATATTAATGATTACAATTTTAAAGAATACATTAATTATTTATTTAGGCCTTCTTGGTCTAAGTATGATCAGCGTTTTGTTTATTTGTTTAGATTCTGAATATGAAACTCAATGTCCTTTAATTGCAATCAAAATTTTAAGGAGTCTATCAGTAATACCAATTGTGAATGAAGTGAAAATGATTACAATTCCAATAATCAGAGAGTTACCTCCAAAATTGATACGACCATTAATTTTAAGTTCATTGATGATGGCCCTTGCTTTCATCATCTCTTTGATTTATAGTACTCTGTAATATTTTGTTTTAATTTTAATAGTAAGATTACTTATAGTATATTATTGAACTTATTCTACATCATTATACTAGTTCTTATAATAATAGTATGCCTTGGTATTTCAATGAATTCCATGCCTGTATAACCAAATATTTAACAATATTTTGAGTACATCAAATTATTATACTAATGAATTATATAATCAATTAATTTCTCTATATTGTTGAATTTTATATTATGAATTAAATTAAATATATAAATAAGTCAATATTATTTTATTTATCAAGCTGTTAAATATAAATATGAATAATATATTGATGAGTATTTCAAAGAAATAATTTAAATTCATATCAATTAATCAAATAAAAATTAAACTATTAAAGGTTCAATTTAAAAGATTTATTCGAAAAATTTATACTTATATTTTGAAGAATCTAATTATTATATAAAGATGGATATGAAAATCTTAAATAGATAATAGAAATAAATATATTTTATAACAAATATATATTATAATACATCTTAAAAACTCTCATTATTTTTCATTTTTTCCTAGATTTATATGCCAAATTTCTTTGATTATGTATTTTAGCATCATATTAATTATTTGTATAAATCTAACATTTTTATCAAAAATAAAAATAGAAAGTTATTAAATTATTACTCTATGTTCATGATTCTCTAAAATTTTGATATATTTTCTAAACTATTCATTCTATTGAAGAGTAATACTATACAAAGAATTAAATTTCTCAATAATATCATAGGTATCTTTAAGCTAACTTTAAAAGGTTCCCCTTTTTATGTTTGGTAATAAAGCATGATTATTTTATGACCATTTACAATATCTCAATAAATTAAATCATTTTGATTGTATTCTAAATACTTCTTATAATCCATAATATAAATAAAATTATATGAGAAGAGTTGACAGATTTGAAAATGCTTTGCTTAAATTTATTGAGATAAATCCTGAAGAACAATCCACTAAGAGAAGGTTTCACTCTTAATTACCCTCACTCTAATTAAGTCGTGTTACAGTAGGAATGACAGATACTGAAGAAAGCCCTTACGTCTTCAAATAATTTGGAAAAAGTAATCAAAAAAATAGAACTCCAATTCCCTTCTTTAAACCATTCAATATTAATCCCGATTACACTCAAAGGAAAAAGACTAAAATTTTACTTCGAAAATTTTAAGCCTTAAAAAAGATAGGAAATTCTTCATTTCGATGAGAAAGTATATTAATAATTACTATTTAATTAAATATAAATTTTATGGTTTGCATTCCTTGTTTGCTATTGCCATTGGCAGGTATATTAGTCATAATATTCGACTTCATTAAGCCTTATCTAATAAAAATTGGATTGCTTAAAGCTCCACCTAAAGCAGATAATAATAATAATATTTAAGAAAATGGAAAAAAAATATCGGACACGTCAACAGAATAATAAAAAACTAAAATATCATGATTTCCTAATTATGTATATGAAATATTATTAATTTGCAAATATCAAATAAAGGAAGTTCATATCTAATATAGATAAAATATATTGAATATTTTTAAAAAGCAAATGTCTTTATTTTATGAAAAAAAAAGTTTCTTTAAAAAATGATCAATATTAAACTTCTATTAATTTTAGCTATCATATATTAATCAACCAAATCATTAAGTAAGATGGTTCAATTAATTTCTATTACCTTTTTCTATGAATTTGGGGACAGACTTGATAGAAGTTCAATCATAAGTCTTAAGTGTTTTGATCTTCTCTCAACAAACAAAATATTATTATTTTATCATAGATTGTTCAGGATTATTTGAGCTTTTATTAAATTTTTTTTCTAAATTTTATTGAGAACACTATCCGTTTCTGTGTCTAAAAAAAATAAAGGAGTAAAACGATTTCATTATTAAAAATGGTTTAAGTCAAGTTCATAGTCTTGTTAATCTGTGCATTGACACTGACCTAAGGTACCTCTTATTTTTATGTCAAGCTTTTGAAGCTGAGGGCACACTCTTGTCGATGTCATTAAATGAGATTAGCAACCTCAATTTAGGGGATGTTAATTGTTAAAACACATCTTAACAATAGTTTGTGTAGTTGGAACAAAATCTCGAGTCATGGGCCGATATCATCGATCACAAGGATGACATTTAAAAAGATATTAACACTCTGAAATAATTAGAAGTCATCTTACTTTAAGTCAAGAAATAAACATAAAAGAAGAGTATTTTAATTTATTTAATTTCTAGAGATTGCTCCATAACAATTGAAATAAATAAATTAAGTTGTGACTAAAAAAATTAAGTCTTTAGTTCTTCCATAAACAGCAAGCAAAATTGGATAAGCACATTGCGATGAAATTGAAAGATAATTAGAGAGATTAAGCAGTGATAATGAGTCAGAAAGAAGTGAATGTTGTGATGCTCTTCTCAAATTGGCTACTTTTCTCATAAGACAATTATCTAGCATTAATTAATAATGCCATCAAAATCCAGTCACTGTCATTAAAATTAAAGGATAAATCAAAGAATTACATATCATCTAAGGAGGATGTGGAGGAGGACAAACTATTGACATTCCTATGGGAGGAGGATCAGATGAAAAATGTGATAAACCAGAAACACCAACCAAACCTACAGATCCTACTACTCCTGATACTCCAACAGATGACCCAGTACCAGACCCTGAAAAAGAAGAAGAAACAACTGAAGAAGAAACTGAAGTTGAAGAAACAGAAACTGAAGAAGGTGAAACAACACCACCAGGACCAGATGCTGAAGAAGAAGGTGAAACAACACCACCAGGACCAGATGCAGAGGAAGAAGGTGAAACAACACCACCTGGACCAGATGCAGAGGAAGAAGGTGAAACAACACCACCTGGACCAGATGCAGAGGAAGAAGGTGAAACAACTCCACCAGGACCAGATGCTGAAGAAGAAGGTGAATCAACTCCACCAGGACCAGATGCAGAGGAAGAAGGTGAAACAACTCCACCAGGACCAGATGCTGAAGAAGAAGGTGAAACTACACCACCATCAGCTGAAGAGGAACTTCATGAACCAGCTGAAGAAGAAGAAGAATCATTCGGTGGCGATGAAAAAAATAATACATCTGGGCCAGGAGATATTCCAGAAGATGGAGAGGAAGAGGGATTCTTACCAGAGGAAGAATTTAGCCCAGAAGATGGACCATAACCTGAGGGGGAAGGAACTGAAGAGGAGGGAGGTGAAGATGGAGAGCCTTCAAAACCTACAAGACAAAGCAGAGCAAGCAAACCTACCAGACCAAGCCGACCTGCAGAAAATCCAGAAGAGGAAGGATTACCTGAAGGAGAAGAGGAAGAAGGTGAGGAAGAGCCCTCAAAACCTACAAGACAAAGCAGAGCAAGCAAACCTACCAGACCAAGCCGACCTGCAGAAAATTCAGAAGAGGAAGGATTACCTGAAGGAGAAGAGGAAGAAAGCGAATTCCCAGGAGATATTCCATCAAATAAAAATGGAACTTCAACACTTCCAGATTTACCTGAAGAAGGTGAGGAAGCTTGTGAAGAAGAAGGTGAAGCAGGTGAAGAAGGAACTACAGAACCACCTTAAAATCCAGAAGGTGAAGAAGCAGGCGAAGAAGCAGGTGAAGAAGGAACTACAGAACCACCTTAAAATCCAGAAGGTGAAGAAGCAGGTGAAGAAGAAGAAGNACCAGATGCAGAGGAAGAAGGTGAAACAACTCCACCAGGACCAGATGCTGAAGAAGAAGGTGAAACTACACCACCATCAGCTGAAGAGGAACTTCATGAACCAGCTGAAGAAGAAGAAGAATCATTCGGTGGCGATGAAAAAAATAATACATCTGGGCCAGGAGATATTCCAGAAGATGGAGAGGAAGAGGGATTCTTACCAGAGGAAGAATTTAGCCCAGAAGATGGACCATAACCTGAGGGGGAAGGAACTGAAGAGGAGGGAGGTGAAGATGGAGAGCCTTCAAAACCTACAAGACAAAGCAGAGCAAGCAAACCTACCAGACCAAGCCGACCTGCAGAAAATCCAGAAGAGGAAGGATTACCTGAAGGAGAAGAGGAGGGAGGTGAGGAAGAGCCCTCAAAACCTACAAGACAAAGCAGAGCAAGCAAACCTACCAGACCAAGCCGACCTGCAGAAAATCCAGAAGAGGAAGGATTACCTGAAGGAGAAGAGGAGGGAGGTGAGGAAGAGCCCTCAAAACCTACAAGACAAAGCAGAGCAAGCAAACCTACCAGACCAAGCCGACCTGCAGAAAATCCAGAAGAGGAAGGATTACCTGAAGGAGAAGAGGAGGGAGGTGAGGAAGAGCCCTCAAAACCTACAAGACAAAGCAGAGCAAGCAAACCTACCAGACCAAGCCGACCTGCAGAAAATCCAGAAGAGGAAGGATTACCTGAAGGAGAAGAGGAGGGAGGTGAGGAAGAGCCCTCAAAACCTACAAGACAAAGCAGAGCAAGCAAACCTACCAGACCAAGCCGACCTGCAGAAAATCCAGAAGAGGAAGGATTACCTGAAGGAGAAGAGGAGGGAGGTGAGGAAGAGCCCTCAAAACCTACAAGACAAAGCAGAGCAAGCAAACCTACCAGACCAAGCCGACCTGCAGAAAATCCAGAAGAGGAAGGATTACCTGAAGGAGAAGAGGAGGGAGGTGAGGAAGAGCCCTCAAAACCTACAAGACAAAGCAGAGCAAGCAAACCTACCAGACCAAGCCGACCTGCAGAAAATTCAGAAGAGGAAGGATTACCTGAAGGAGAAGAGGAAGAAAGCGAATTCCCAGGAGATATTCCATCAAATAAAAATGGAACTTCAACACTTCCAGATTTACCTGAAGAAGGTGAGGAAGCTTGTGAAGAAGAAGGTGAAGCAGGTGAAGAAGGAACTACAGAACCACCTTAAAATCCAGAAGGTGAAGAAGCAGGCGAAGAAGCAGGTGAAGAAGGAACTACAGAACCACCTTAAAATCCAGAAGGTGAAGAAGCAGGTGAAGAAGAAGAAGGTTGGGTACCAGGAGATATTCCAAAAGGCAAAAATGGAACATCTACATTGCCTGACTTACCTGAGGGTGAAGAAGGAGCCGAGGAAGGAGGTGAAGAAGTTGGAGGAGAAGAAGGAGGAGAAGAAGGTGAAGAAACTCCAGGTGAAGATACTGAGGAAACCCCAGATTAACCAGAAGAATAAGAAGAAAAGTAATTGTAATTGTAATAAAATTAGATGTTAAGAAACTGTTGAAATCACTGCAACCAACGCTGCTGACATTATGTGTGCTTTAGGATAATATTTGAGTTAATTGGCTCATGGAGGATCACCTTCTGACAGTCCTAACGCTAAGAAGGTTTGCTTCTGCTTGAAATATGAACCAGGTATATAAAAATTATTAATTTTAGATAACGCTGATCCTTCATTGCTACAATTAACTTAAAAGGTTAGCAAGAAATAAAGAAAAGAATAAGATGGCATATTAAAAGCATTAATTCCTAATAGGAGAATTTGAATATGAACAAACTTTTTTTATTTTTTGATTTAAATAAAAAAAGTAAACTTGTCGATGTATTTCATTATTCTTAAATAATTTTCTTTCTTATTTTTAGAATAAATAATTGATTGTAAATGATATGGAAATTAGAAATTCAATATTCATCAATTGTATCTTTGGTATCCAATTAGACTATATATCTAAATTTAACCTTAGTTTCATCATATACTATATATTCATTGTGTTGTAAATAGTATTAAATAGGATTACCATCCTTATCCTTCTTTTTTGGATCTGGATAATCTATACATTATCCAACAGGAACTTTGCATCCATTTGATAGAACAACAGATTATTTGTAATCAGGTCCTCTTCTTCCACATCCCTTCACAGATTGATATTGTTCTAATGATATATATATCTAAAATACTTGGTAAATTTTAAACATAATCAGCTTGGTAAAGCTCTTAAGATTTACCAACAGCAACTTCACAAAGTAACATATATCTATATCTTTGAATTTCTTCTTATTCATCTTTAACTACTTATTCTTATCTATTCCAATGTCCACCTTATTAAAAGAGTCCATTATAAGTATTATAATGAAGTGACCAATCATCTGTGTAAGCAAAGGATTTTTAGAACATATCAGCAAAATAGATTCCCTTTCCAAACATTGCCCCTGTATTGAGTGCCCAAGGTGGTGCGACTAATAATAAAATAATTTTTTTACCTTTAAGTCCTTAGGCTAATATACCCATAAAGTTGGAAATTTTAGAGCCATGCCAAAGCAATAATCTATTATATTATTTATTGATTTCAAATCTCTCTGCTTCTCCTCTTCTCTCAATAGCAAATATATTAGATATTTTAGGAGTTGCTGATTAATTTATATATTAATCTATCAATTTGAATTCTGGATGTTCTCGATGGAGAGTAATGACTCTAACATTAAGAGCATTGAAACAATAAGTAAGTGGATTTAAGGATTACTTCATCAAATGAGCTCCTAATAGAATTTTTGAAGTAATTTCAAAATTGAGCAAAGTTTCAATTAGTAATAATTTTTGATTAAGAGCTTCAATTGAATCTAGTGGAGGTAGAGGTTCTGTTCTTAATTCAATCATTGGGATTAATTCATAAAATCTACTAGATTTATCAGCTATTTCAGAGGATAGATTTGATATTTTTTTAATATCTAAATCTCCTTTTTATCTAAGTTACTTTAATTCTTCAACACTATCTGTTAATTCATTAAGAATAGCTTTGGCTACTTCCAATTATTTTCTATCTAGTCTTTCAATAGGCAAAAAGTCCATATCTACATGGAATTATTATAAATCCTTTTAATATAATTTGACTTAGATGAATTATAAAATGAATCTTTTTATAGTGTTATCCAATTTGCATGGTGGATAAGGAGATTTTTTACTGAAATCGAAAGGACTTAGTAGTGTTTTGTAATTTTTCATTTTTTTTACATTCATTAACTGATATTTACCAGGTCTTTTAACAAATTCTTCTTCTCCAGTTTTAATCTTTCTCCAATCGTTTCCACCTGTTTTAGTATAAAATATTTTATTAAATTCTTTAGTTGCTTCTTCAGAATTTTCAAAAGGAGTTTATTAATGTTATCCTCCAGTACCTATTCTACCCCATCTAGTAAATAGAATATAAACATTTCGATTTATTTCATGCAATACTTACATCTTATAAAATACATTTTCTGAATATTGTCCATTACCAATATCAACTTTAGTCATCAATAAGGAATATGGTCCTATTTCCTTATCTATTAAAATCTCAAGTTTTCCAGTTAGGATTGCAAATTAATCAACTTGATTTTTATAATCTTACTTTGAATCATCTAATTATTCTCCATTTAAGTCTAAAAACTTTTGAGCATCTGCTTCAACATCTATCTCTTCTTCCACCCATTAAGCTTAAGATATCACACTAGTTGGAAGTCTTGGTTATTTAGACTTTACATTCTTGATAGCTGAGAAATTCTTAAGAATTCCTGCCATAACACCAGAATCTTAATCAACAGCATAGTCTAAAGCAGTTTTTCCAAAGTTATCAATAAGATTTACATCAAATACTTTTGCTAATACTTCTAACATTTCTGTATTTTCATATGAACCAAATTCTAAAGGTTAAACAACATGATGAATGGGAGATTTTTTATTAAAATCTTAAATATGAGCTTCTCTCTTAAATTTAGGATGATGTAGAATGAAATTAACTAATTTCAAAGAGTTATTCTTAATAGCTAGAATTAAAGAGGTTTCTCCTTTCTCAGTTTTCTCATTTATATCACAACCAGCATCAGTAAATTTAGATAAAAGAATTTCATCTTCTACATGATATTCCTAGATTAAATATAATAATGGTGTTAGACAATATTCTTTCTTATTAACTTTAAATTAAATATTTAAATTTGCATTGCTACTTGTCCATAATCCTAATTCTATAGGATCAGAAAAAACTTTATAATTATTTTGGAGTCTAATTGAGAAGGGAGTATTTTTATCAGAATTAAAAGCATTAGGATCACTATTTCTATGTAAGAAATATTTTATCATTTAAAGGAAATCATGTTTACATGCATAATGTAATGGAGTATTCATTTAATTATCAGTAGACATCCTATCAACTCCCCTTCTGGATAATTCTTCTGCAATTAGAATTGCCATATCTTATCCACAATTTCTTCCTTTAATTGCAAAAATGTGGAATAAATTTTAATGGTTTTAATTATACTTTTAAACAACCGAATCTTCTTTAACTTTCAAGAGTAAAGTTCTAACTAACTTAAATTGATCTTCCATCATTGCATCTTCTATAGCTCGTTGAAGATCATAACCATCAGTAATCAATAAATATGCAACACCTTGCCATCCTTATTTAATTGCTAATTTAAAATAGGAATAAGTTCCAGGAGGGAATTTAGTTGGTTAAGTCAATGAATTTAATTAATTATTTTATCCAAATGCACTTCTGGTGGCTACTTTTGTAGAGAAAGGTTAAATTCTATTACCAAAAAACATTCCACCACTACCAAAACCAGATGTATTATTATTTGTTTCATTTTCTATTGGATTTGATTCCCCTTCATCTTCTGTTTCTATTTCTTCTCCTTTATCTCTTCTTTCCTATCTTTAGCGTTTCTCTTCTTATTTAACTTTTTCTCTGTTAATTACTATTGCATCTCGATTTACATTGGCTTTATTGTCTATAAGCATTGTACAGAAATTAGAATGACCACTTATAAAGGCTAAACCTAATGGAGTATTACCATATTTATCAACATCATCTACTATAGCATTCATTTTAATCATATATCTACCAGAAATAACACTTCCTCTTAAAGCAGCATAATGTAAAGGAGATCTTTAATAAAAATCTAAACAATTAACAGAACAATTCTTATCTGCTAATATAGATGAGACTGTTTCAAAAGGATCAATTTCAGAAAAATCATTTTATTTGTTAATCTTTGTGAATGCATAGAATATAGGAGTTCTTTATAAAAAGTCAATTGCACTAGTATCAGCTCCATTCATAATCAAAAGATATTCCATTTCGAAACTAGCATCTGCTTAAGAATTAGATGAATTAATAGCATGATGTAATGCAGTTCTTTTATATTTATCTTTGAAATTTGGATCAGCTTTAAATTTAGTCAAAAATAATTCAACAACTTTAATATTATTGGCTTTAACCCATTTTTATAATGGAACTTCATTACTTTTATTTAAGTTATCAATAGATCCTCCATTTTCTAATAAGGTTTCTATAAACCAGTTCAAATCCTCATAATAACGTGCTGCCAATATACTTGTAGGAGTATTTAAATTTCCATCTTTAACTTTGATATCAATATGATTTAGAATGTATTTTAAGAATGTTTCACTAGTTTCTTATTCTCTTCCACATATTGCATATCGATTGCATGTACCAGCAAATAAATGAATTGGATATATATTATTATGAGTAGCTTCTTTTAATGAGATATTAGTAATTCTTTATAATCCTTAAAGAAAAGAAACACTATGAAAAGATCTAAATATAAAATGTGCTATTGTGTAGTTACCTTCACTTATATAAGGATCTTCTTTAATATCTTATTAATTTTAATCTGGTTCTCTAAATTTCTTTCTTTTGATCACATAACTATTAGATTTAGCTCCCATATTAATCAATTATTAGAACAATTTTAGAACAGTCTCTTATAATAAAAATGAAGCTTATAATGTTTCTTATCTTAATACATCCACTTATTCTTTAGTCAAATGAACAATAATTGGTTTACTATTATAATAAAATGTTCTTTGATTTTGAACATTTTAATCAATTGCAGTTGATGTCGTCAATTATTATTATTAAAATAAAGAAGTATTTCTAAGCATAGATGTTTATGGCCTTATATTAAGTTATTTACTTGGTGCTGTAGTTTGAATGAAAGATGGATTTTTAAATGCTGCTTTCTTTTTTTAATAAGGGATTTCTTCTTCTTCATCTTCCTCCTCATCTTCACTTGCATCTTAATCACTAACATCATCATCATCAACTTATTTACTAATATCTCTTTCTTAATCTACTTCTTCATCATGTTTCTTTTCTTCATCTATTTAATCTTTTTCAGGAGGTAATTCTAACACTTTCTATTCAAATAATTTAATTTATAATTATTGAACTTTCTTACTGAAAATCTTATCATGTTGTTATTCAGCAGATTTAGTGTATTCTGAAATTAAATATAATAATGGATTCCAACCATTTTCATCATATTAATTTATATAAGATTAATCAACTGTTTTTATAATATTTTCTAAAATAGTATTTCCTTTTGGATTTAAAAATAACTTACATTCTATTAATTTGTGTAAAATATTTCTATCTTTTGTATCAACATAATCAAATTTTGGAGAAGCTAATTTCATTATTTGTTCTGCTGTTTTGAAATTCTAACTCATTAATGCTTATATAAATGGAGTCTATCCATTAACATCTGGAACATTAACATCTGCACCTGCATTAATTAATAATTCAATTAAATCTCCTAATAATTTTTCATAATTATTTTTTATATCTCTCTTCTCAGCTTTTATCATCTCATTCCACTTTTAATAATATTATTTAACATTCTTTCTAGATATCTATACAGCATAATGAAGTGGTGTTTTTTCTTATAAATCAGCTATTTTTACATCTGCATTTTTCTCAAGAATCAAATATTTCATATATTCAAAAGAATCAGCATTAAATCTACTTAAACTTGAAGAAATTAATGTTCTACCTTCATCATCCTTACAATTTACATCTGTACTTGGATAATTTAATAGAGTCTTAACCACACCTAAATGATTCTTCTATAAAGCCACAGATAATGGTGTTAATTTCCATGAATTAGGCAAATTTTAATCTGCCCCTGCTTTCATCAACTCTTCAATACATTCAGGAAATCCATAAGCAGCAGCATAATGAAGAGGAGTATTTTTTGATGAATCAGGCATATTGTATTCTGCTCCATGATAAAGAAGAAGTGATAGAATCTTAACATTTCCATTACGAGCAGCCATTGCACATGATGTTCTACCATATTTATCTTTACTTATGACTTTAGCCCCTTAATCAATTAAATACTTAACCAAATCATAATGTCCATATGCACTTGCAATTATTAAAGGTGTCATTCTAAATTAACCTGGTTAATTTATTTATGCTCCATTTTATAAGAGTATTTTAACTGTTTCTAAATGACCTCCAAAACAAGCTAAATGTATTGCAGCATTTCCTTCCTTGTTTTTACCACTAATATTATTAGAAACTAAAAGTTCAACATTATGAGTTCTTCCATATTATGCAGCAAGCATAAGTGGAGTATTCTTTTATCGATCTCCTTCTCTGGCATCAATTCCATTCTCTAATAAATATTTTAAACAATCATTTGTTTATGAAACTGCAGCATAATGAACAGGTTTTCTATGAATTTCATCTAATATATTAAATTCTTATGAAATATCAAGCAATTTTTATAAACAACCATGATTAGGATTAATTGCTGAACAATGAATGGGTGTTATTAAATACATACCAATTGTCTTTTTTGTTGCAGATGGTTTCTTAATGTTTCCAATACGACTAGCACTTGTATGATTTAAAACATCAACATGTACTTAATTATATCCATACATATGTCCTTTCTCCATAGCCTATTAAACTAAATAACCAGCAGTTCTCCAATTACCACATCTCACTGCTATTGCAATCATTTCATAATATGAATGCTCATTTCCTAATTATGCTATCATTAAACCAAAAAGTTCAGGATCAGTTTCTATTTTCATTAATCTTTCAATTTAATAAGGACCAAATGTATCATCTTGATTTAAATCATAAACAAATGCATTATTGCCTTCTCTTCCTCCTCTACTCATAGCAACTTTTCTAGTTCTAACTCCATAAGCATATTTATCATTATAACCTGTATTTACTTCTTTTAATGAACATCTTGGTGTCACTCCTAATTTGATTTTACCTATAGATTTAATAAAAGACAAGAGCATTGCTTTGTCTTATCTTTAAAATATCAATTCTAAAGCATTTATTTCATTTTCAGGTCCCCATCTAGTATATAGACAACTAATTTTTTAAGAATTATCAAATATATCCTCTAATAATTTTTTATTACCTGTTCTGGCAGCCCTAATTAATTCTTTATTATTCATAATGATGCTAGTATAATCATGGAATTTTGAACTAGGTCCTTCATATTGATCACTTATATTTCTCAATTCTCTGTAATTAGGATTTACCTTTCCTCTTATAAATTTAGTTGGTTAAGTAGGTTAAGATCTTGATTTTCTAGTTGAACTACCTTTACCTCCTTTCTTTCTTTTACTATCAACAGAAAATGATTAAGATACAGATACAGATTATTCTTCTTCTTCTTCTTCATCTTCTTCTTCCTCTTATTTTTTTTATGTTCTACCTCTTTATCTAGTTTCTTTTATAATAAGTGATGCATCTTAAGATTTTTATGATTATTTTGGAGCAGGAGTATTTTTAATTTATTTTTTTTTAACTACTTTAACAATTACTTCTTCTTCTTCATCTTCATCATCATCTTATTAACTATCATCTATCTCTTCTTTATTTTATTTTTTTCCACTTTTCTTTTTCTAATTTTAAACAACTTTTTAATTTTAAATATTTTCAACTTTATTTTTTGTTTATCTTTAAACAGATCCTTTTTTTGGTTGTTTTACTACTACTTCTTCTTCTTCTACTTCTTCATTCTCCTCTTCATCATCCTTATCACTTTCATTACTTTCCTCTTCTTATTCTTACTTTCTTTTCTTGCTTTTCACTACTTTTTTCTCTGGTTAAATTTCTACTTGTTGCTTTTAACCCTTTTTGATAGTGTATTTTTTTGGTGGTTCATCCTCTTCATCTTCACTGTCAGAGCTGACTTATTTTTTTTATTGTTTTGTATTGGCGGGAACCTATTTCATACTTTTAGCTATTTCTTAGAGAGTGTCTTGAGGGAAAGTAAAAAAGGTAACAGCTGTCTTACTTCTTGGATTAGGTTTTGTAGATTTTACTTCTACATCATCAACAACTTTACTAAAATAATTATAATATATTTTACGTGCGCTCTTTTACAGGCAACAAAAGTTCTTCAGCTTCTTTATAAACTACTTTACCATCCTTTAACTTTTCTTATTGTTCAAGTTTAACTACTCTTAATTAAGATCTATGATCATTAGTTTTCATATCCTCTACTACCTTATAAAAAAGAGGCTTGCCTTTTTCACTCTATCCTAATATTTAATCTTTTTTGTAATGATATGCATATTGCGGTTCTGACTTCTACCCGCGAGTTTTCATTTTATTTTATGTAAATGAATTTAAATTAAATCTGATAAAATTATGATACTTGTTTTGCTAAAAGGAATAAATAAATAAATAAATAAATAAATTAAAACTTCAATTGATCTTTTCTAAACTTATACATTCTATTTAACTTCTTAATTCTTTCACATCTTCCTAAACATTATCAAAATTAGGATGATGATGTGCATACTCAAAATTTATTGGACTATAATCCATCAATATTCTTCTTTAATGAAAAGGAGAAATGTCTTATGAATGAATACCTTCAAATTATTTTGAATCAAAAGAATCTAATCCTTAAATTAAATTAATTGATGGTTGAATTCTATGTGATGGTGTTCTATTTTGGATATTCATAAATGAATCATTTTTTATTGAATCATTTTTTGTATTATCATGTTCCTCTTTGATTGATTAAATAGTCTCTAAAGGTTAATAAATTGGAATTGGTTATGGAATATTGGGTTATTCAGAAAACGAAGAATCCCCATCATCATCATCATCCGATTTCTCTTCCAACATGTGAACTCTCTTAATAAACGAATAAAATCTATTCTTCACTTAGTTTTCCTATATTTTAAATATACTAATACTGGTCTTCTATCTAACATCTTTGCAATTTCACTCCATTTTGGACCATAAATTCTATACTATTCTAAAATTATTTTATCTTCCAAAGGAGTAAATTTTTAATGATTAATCTCTGGATCCAAATTATTTAAAAACCTTTCTCTAATCTATTTACTTGATCTGCCTTCCATAAATCCTTCTATAACTTTCCAATTTCGACCATATTATTAAACAAATAGTATCACTCGTTTATCCTCTTCATCATTCCATTGCTTACGTAATTTAGTCTATATATATATCAAATTTAAAATTCTACCTTATTTGGATTTATGCGCTTCCATCTTTGTTAACATTAACTTAAGTTCCTTCCAGGAATTTCTCCTGCAATTAAACCCCAATTACCATTATATTTAGAGTGTAATTCAATCAAGAGTGCATCCTCATTAGGTTTCCAAAATTTTCCATACCTTCTTTCTGAAGAACTTGAATCTGAATCCTTACTATGTTTCCTAATTTATTTGTTTACAGTCGGTGACCTATTTATGAGAATAATATAAATACTTGGAGTTTACCCTTTGTCTACTCATTTTTATTATTTATATAAATAACCCTCAACAAAAATGAATTTTGAATTAAATCTTTATATGTAACATTTATCAGAATAATTATCAAAAATTAATCATATAAATTCGCTAAACCGTAAGAATAAAACCAATTATATATTCATAATTGTATAAATCTATGTATTATTGTAATAAAAAATAATAATCTAATTATAAAAGTATTGAATTAAGTTCTAAACTAATTTTGCACTTAAATTATATATAATTATGTAATAACATAATGATTTAATTGAAGAACAATTAATTGTTACAGATATTAATACATTTATAATGTAATTAAAAAAAAAAGAATAATGTTTATTATAATTTGACTAACTTAGTTTTTTATTTAAAGAAATATTAAATAAATTGAATATATAAATATTCTTATTTTAATTAATATGAATGACTAAAAATACAAAAATAATGATCATCAAATTCTAATAGCTTATTCTTTTTTTCTTTAAGTAGCTCCATTTGTTAAAAAATTAAAGACATTTTTACATGAACATTAGACAAATCTATCTTTTTTTTGGGAGAGTAATTCATCATCAATTTATGAATTTTTATTTGAATTAGACATGACTGATTTAATAGTAGAAGCTTAATTTTAAATTGCAAATCTCTCAAATGTAGTTTAACCAAGAAAAATGTTTGAAATTTAAGTTATAAGAAGAGCTGTGATTCCCAAGATAAAAATACTTTCAATTAATATATTGATAATTAAGATTACCCAAAATGTTAAAGGTTCATTAAAGAATTCCATTTAATTCTAATTTCCAATATAACATTACATTATAGTTTTAAATAGAGCATAGATAAGTGATGCTTCTAATGAAATTAAAAAAGTTATAAAAATCAAATGATTTTCAGCACCAACACAATTATTAATCCAAGGACAATGATGATCATACATTAAAACACATCGTTAACAAATGTCACAATGTTTACTTCTAGGTAATTTCACTACATTACAAATTGGGCATATATCTTAATGATCAAAAGTTGTTATTAAAGTATATAATGGTTCTTATCTTCTAATTTAATAACCAGGATTAGAACATACAATCAACATAAAAAATAGTAAAGTAATTCCAAAAAATAAATAATCTGTAAAAATTGGTATAAAATCATCTACCATATATATCCAATAAGAGAATAAAAGAAAAATCATAAAACCACCAAATCTCATTAATTCTAATGCATTTTTCCTTACTCTTTTAATACCTTATTTCAAATTAAAATATGTAATTAAGAAACTACGTTCTTTAGTAAGTAAATTATATATGTTCTTAAAATCATTCTCTTAAGCTATATCAGCAGGAGTTTTATTACTATTTCCTTTTATTGTTTTATCAGCTCCATAAATTAACAATTTCTTAACTAATTTTGTATTTCCACTTTAAACTGCTAAATGCAAAGGTGTTAATTGATGAGAATCAAGAGAGTTTAATGGGTAGTATGGTTTTTTTGATTCTATTAAAGGTATCAAATAATTAGCAGAGTGTTCTTAACCATAATAGCATGCCCAATGCAAAGCAGACCCTCCATTTAGATCAAAATCAGTCAATTTAATTCCATTAACAAGTGCAAATACAATACTATTAGGTTGATCTCCTTATGCACCTATATGCATAATATTCAAACCTTATTTATTTGTAGCTTATAAGTTTGCTCCTTTTAATTTTAAAAGTGTCAGAATTTATATATTTCCTCTAAAAGCTGCAAAGTGCAGAGAAGTATATTTATCAATAGTGGTAGAATTGATAAAATTCTCCATATTCTGTAAGTTGTTTTCTCTTCTTTCTTAATGGTTTATTATTAATTCACACATCTGATAGCTATTATTGAAACAAGCATAATGAAGAGCAGTAAATCTTTTGGAATTCTAAATAGCAGATAGATCAAATGGTCTTGATCTTAATAAATTAGAAAATTGTTCCAAGTCATTTTATTAAGCCAAACATAGTAAACGCATCTCTGGTGAACTATGATCGACAGGTAATTATATATGAGATCCTATTGGATTTGATGGAATTAGATTATTGTCTTCTGTGTATATTGTAGAATTAGATGGACTTAATTGCATTATTTATTAATATACTAAATATATGTCACTTCTTCTTGCCCTTTTTTCCTCCAGCAGCTCCTTTGTCTCCAGCACCACCAGCAGGGGCAGCAGCAGCAGCAGCGGCAGCTTTAGCGGCTTGTTATTTTTTGATTGCTTCTAAGTTGGCTTTAATCTTAAATATAAAATTAAACAATTACTGTTGCCTCATCCATTCTAAAGGTTTGATGGCAAGTTCCACAATAATGTCTGTCGAAATGTTTAGCCATGTACACACCTTATGGACATTAAGGACATTATTTATGTGATCTTTAAACTACTCCTTTGTTGTCAACATTGTACAATTTAAGAGTAGCCAACTTAATTTTTCGGTGTCTATGCTTCTTCTTCTTGGGCTTTGCGAAATTCTTCTTCTTCTTCTTCTTTTTCTTTCCTCCTTCTGCATCAACTGTGACATAATAGATTCTGTCTCCAGCCAAAATCGATGATGCATTTACTAATTCACCACATTAAACCAATTGAACTTCACATGCCAATTCAGAGTTCAAAATATACATTAATTCATTAGCAGTACATTAATCTGCTAAGTTGTATGTTTTCACCTCTCCATTAAGGTGACCCACCTAGATAATCATAATACTTTTTAAAAAAAAGATTTAATTTAAATCTCAAATTAACATAACTAAGTAATTATTATTATTAATCTAAAACATCTCATACATATCAACTCAATCTCATTACTATTTATATCTTCTTAATAAAATTCTCATTCTTATTTGTTCTATTTCTTGTATATTTATATTTAATCTTATAAAAACTAATAAGATAAATTTTCAAAGTGTTAAACAATATATTATCTATTTTTAAGATATAATTGTATTCAATCATATTATTATCTTCAATTTCTTACTCAATTCTCTTAAAATTATATAATATATAATTATTGTTCATTAAATAGTTTCAAATTAGAGTATTTAAAATTTTTAATATTTAAAGAAAGTTAGAATTTCATAATATTATCTTATATAATTATAAGAGATATAAAATTAATAAGTATTCAAATATTTAACACTTTAAAAAAGTTATTGAAGATATTTAATAAAGATATTTTATTTTGAGAAACAAAAAGGAACAATTTGATAAATCTTAATATGTTAATTTATTTAGGTATTTTTTCTATTTTCTAAATTATAGCCATCTCAATTTCCAAATGCTTCATTTGATAGATTTATTTCCTCACAATATAAGTCATGAAAAATGAATCTGAACTCTGATCTTAGTTTATTTAATCATCTAAATATGATTGCATTTTAATTAAAGGTTCTATATATTATTCAGATTAAATTTAACTCCTTTAAGGATTTGTTTCTTTTTTAATTGGCAATCGTTTTTGTTCATTAATTTTTCTTAACTATTTTCTTTTGAATTGGAATCAGTTTTTTCTTTTTTTAAGTATATTTTAAGGCTTCTTGTTATTAACAAAGAAGGGTTCTTTAAGGCATTATAATTATATTAATAACTGTATATAAAAAAAATGAAATAGGAAAAAGAAATGCCATTTAATGGAGATTTTGAAGATAGTGAAGCAGATGAAGATGAATAATCATAGGAGTCTGAGAGTGAAGAAGAACAAATATAAATAAAAAAGAAGAAAAAGAAAGTTGTAAATTCTAGTAAGAAGTTAATAATGAATGTTTCAGGTATTTAATATAATATTAAATAGACACTTAGTATCCTGTTGTTAAATTTGTTGGGAAAATGATTTATAAGTTTAAATTGTCTTATGTTCCTTATCTTGAAAATAATAATTGGGACTTTTGTTGGACTGATAATGCTGTTCTACCTGAAACTTTATCAAAAATGCAACGTATAGTTCTAATGTTTAATATTAAGCTCATTAAAGAATAAATCATTTTCCAGGTATGTATTCTTTGGCAAGAAAAAATCATCTTGGTCGTAATCTCAATAAAATGCAAAAATAATATCCAGATGAATATGATTTCTATCCTAGAACTTGGATGCTTCCAAGTGAATATGGAGATTTCAAAGCTTAGTTTCAAAAGGGAAAAGCAAAGACTTTCATTATTAAACCAGAAGCATCTTGTTAAGGAAAGGGTATTCAATGAAATAATAACAAAAAGGTATATTTTTAACACGTTCTATTGATTCCATTAATCCTCAAGAACATTATGTTGCTTAAAGATATATTCATAAACCGTTATTAATAGATGGATTAAAATTTGATTTAAGAATATATGTAATGATTTGTGGTTGTGATCCATTAAGAATTTATTTATATAAGGAAGGTTTGGCTAGATTTGCAACTTAATTATATTCATCACCTCATTCAACTAATCTTGATGATGCTTGTATGCATTTGACAAATTATGCTATAAATAAAGACAATCCTAATTTCATATTCAATGAAGATGAAAAGAAAATGGATATAGGACACAAAAGAAGTATGACTAGTGTATTTGAGTTATTAAGAATTCAAGTAAATATTATAACATCATCTTATATAGAAATAAAATGTAGATTAATTATTAATTGATATTAAGGATTTAATAATAAAAACTTTTTGTGCTGTTCAACCAATATTATAATAAAACTATACATAAATAGAAAATTATGCAAACAATATGTGTTTTGAAATTCTTGGTTTCGATATATTAATTGATAGCTCACTTAAACCATATTTATTGGAAGTCAATCACACTCCTAGTTTTACAACTGATACTCCATTAGATTCCTACATAAAAAAGAATCTGATTAGAGATGCAATTACTTTAATGAATATTAATGTCAAAACTAAAAATGATATTATTTCTTAAAAGAAGGATCAAATGTAAAAAAGAGTTCTTACTGGAAAAAAGACTAAATTATCATATGAAGAAAAGAGAGTCCTCAAAATGTAAGCATAAAAAGAAAGAGATGAATATGAATCAAAAAATAAAGGAGATTTTGAATTGATATACCCATGTGATAAATCATATGATGAATATTTATAACATGCTTAAAAATTATATGAAGATTGGACTGGAGCAAGTATACCATATATTTATATCTTATTAGATATAAGAAGGAATTTAAAAAGAGATACAATTGCTGAATAATCTAAACCATAATCTTGTACTTAGAAACCAATACTTACATAAAAAAGTTAATTATATAAGCATGTTTAAAGTAAAGTTAATACCAATTTATTTCCTACCAAAACTACAAAAGCTGATTAAGAAGTCACTTAAGAAGAACCAGAATAAACTCTATAATAAATACCAGAACCTATTTAATCTTAACCACAATTAGAGCCAGATAATTTTGTTACTTATGAGGATTATCAATAATCTGAATCACTAAAAGATTTATATAATTTTGCTGAAAAGAGAATTCCAGAAATATAACTTATTGACTTAATTTAATTTAGAAGAGCAGAAAGCAAATAGGATAATTCAAGCTTTTAGATGATATAAATGAGTTAATAAAATTCTTTATCCAATCTATCTCCATTAATGTAAATTAAATCTATTCAAGATTCAAAAAATGAAAAGAAATTTTCTATCAGAAAAAAAAATAAATAACCTAAATAGATTGATTAAGAATAAGTAAATTATACAATTTAAATTTAGTTATATTTTTAACCCTAACCACATTATCAACCTCCAATCTAATAACATTCAATATCCTATTAATAATAAGTGTAAATACAAAATGGTTCATTTGTCAAACCAAAAGTTTTTAGCTTAAAATTATAACACCCTCCAAAAGGATATAAATTATAATCACTTCCAATTTTAATGTAATAAAATTATACAAAATAACGGTATGAGTAAGGAGTATGAATTTCGTTTTTCTTAAATAATTATTATTTTATATTTTTAATTTTCTATATTAATATCTTAAATAATCCTTATAAATATCTTAATAACATTAAATTTTATTATTTTTTTCAACAAATTATAACTCAAAATTAGAATATAACTAATTAATTTAAAAAAATTAATATATATTACTTATAAAATAGTCACAATATGTAAATTAAGGTATTAGAAAAATTTTGATATTATACTTTAATAAATAAAATATGTATTTATTAAATAATTTAGATCTATCATTAAACTTAAATATCTACAATATTTAAAAACATATATTAAAATTGAATCTAGTTACAAAATCATAAATTTAAAAGAAAGTAATAATAAAACATTATTTTTGATTCAGTTGAGAGTTTTATATGTTATATGAAATAAATTTTAATTTTTGAGTAACATTTATAAATATATAAGTATGATGTATATATATTTTCTGTTCGAAAATTTGATAAAATATCAAGGGATTTTTCATTATTTAAATTTTAAATTAAATAAGAAAAAATATATTATGTAATCTGGAAACAATATTTTTGTTTTCACTCAACAAGACTTCTAAAATTGTTTTGTTGTGAATTTGAACCAACCTTTGGGTTAAGGACATGATGCAAGAGTTTATTTAGCTATGCATAAGAAAACTGGGGAAATGTTTGCTTTAAAAGTTCTGACTAATTTATCACAGAATCACATAATAAATCTCCAGGTTTAATTACAATTTATTTAGCGAACGAAATACAAATTCTTAAAGGCATAGATCACACAGGAATAGTTTTGTTGAAAGGATACTCTTAAGATTATACTTGTGTTCTATTAGAGTATATGCCTAATGACACATTTTTAAAAATCTTGAAAAAAGGTCCATTCCAGTTGACATTTGCGAAGACTTTGGCAGCCTATCTTATAAGAGTGCTTGTGTCACTTCATACAGCTTCTATAGCCCATTGTGACATAAAACCTGAGAATATTTTAATAGCCGCAGATTTCAATTTGAAACTATGTGATTTTGGATTTGCTCGCATTTGTAAAGAACCTTTAAGACCTCCTGGAGGTACTCCTGGATACACTGCACCTGAAATGTATATTAATCCATAGGTAAATCTATTTAAATGTGATATATTTGCCTTGGGTGTAGTATTATTTATTGTAGTAATGGGATTCCCTCCATTTCAAACAAATGATCCTAATGTAAAAGATGGATGGTGGGGTTTAATATAGAGTAAATAATTTGAACTCTTCTGGAGCAAATGCGAATCATTTAGACAATAGTAATTCCCATAAGAATTTAAGAATTTGATAATGTCTATGTTAGAATGTGATCCAGAGAAAAGGATATCTTTGTAGGAAGTATAGGATCATGAATTTTTAAAGAATGGAGCTCCAGAAGAGGAAGTGTTATAGGAAATTGAGAAACGAGTTAAGGAATGATAGAAAATTAAGGAATAATATTCAAAAATATACATTAATTTAATATAAAAAATATGAGTTCATCACAAAATTCTTATGAAAGTGCATCAACAGCTTTATCCAATCCTGGAGACTTAGCAGGGAAGTTTAGTTGGGGGATTGCAGAAGTCTTGGTTAAGGGAACAATTTGTGGAATGGTTCATTTGTTTGTATTTACAGTACTAAAACAAAAATTCATTACCGATAAAGTGAGGTGAAAAAGAATATCAATATTATTAAAATAACATTATAATTATTTTATTATTATCCAGATGTAGAGGCTTCTAAAACCTATTAAGATATAACAACCTGTCTTATAAAGGATGGAAAGTGCAAAATCGGATTGTTCGGCTGATGAAGATCTTAGTTTTATAGAAACTTTAAGGGCGGACGCTCAAAACCCAATGATAAAAAACTTCTCACAGGAAGACTCTCTTGTAGATGACACAAAGGATTTGGAAGAATTCCTTAATTCTCTTGATTGAAATCAATGATGAAAGAGGAAAGCCATTTAATTGGGTAAACCTCTCTTTCGACTGATTATAATACATAAACTTTTAATCAAAAACACTCTCAAAATCTAATTAATCATATGAAGCCATCATTTATTTTACTTCATATTCTGGTTTATAATAATGTGAATTTCCAAATTTTAACTGTCAACTTATTTCCATTATTTTTGAACTATGATTATTTTCCTTATAATTCATATATTTTCAAAAAATAACCAACTGACTCATATTTCTCTTTTGAGATGTCTTCAAATTTTAATATCCCAAATAGAGATTCTCACAATTCTCTATAAAATATATGTTTTGAGAGTTTGTAGTTATAAAAGCATTCGTTTTTTCCAATCTCATCTATAATTATACATCAAGTAGATCAAGAATTAGTCATATAAATATATTAAAAATTACAAATAAAGGAACTAAAAATTTAATAAGTACATTTTTCAGTTTGGAAATATAATCAAGTTAACATGTTTATATTAACTTATTTTTACACTGAAATAAGTGATTTTTAATTCTAATTAATTCTTGTTTATATATGTTAAATAAAATATAGATTGTTTATTTTATAAGAAATAATTTTCTCCATTTAAAGAATACTTTTAAATACCATATTTAGAATTGTATTTGAATATTGAATGAATTTGAGAATAAATTAATATATAAATATATATCTATATATAATTTAATTATTAATGAATAAAGATAAAAATAAGAAGGTAAAAGGAGATCCAAATCGTTCTAGATCAAGAGACAAAGAAAAGAATGAAGTACTAAGATTTCCTCCTATAAATCAAGAATAATTTAGAGCAGTTGTTATTGAATTTATGCTAAGTGATTAATTTGATTACCCTATATCAGGTGGTGAATTATACACATACATAAACACAATATTTTTAGTATTTCATTAATTAATTCATTTAAGACTAAAACAAGTACTCCATATTTAAGGAATCTCTAAATTGAACCAATTCTAAATTAATTATCAGATGCTGGAGCAATCAATCTATCTAAACTTGCTGTAGGTATATACTTATAGGATTTCATTTTATCTATTTCAAAAGAGAAATTAGGATAAATGAATATATAATATTCAAAGGATAAACCAAAATAAATGCCTACTGTTGAAGAATGGATTAAAGAGGAAATAAGATCTATTACTAGTGGATAAACATTTTTAAAAATTGATCATTTATTAGATGAAGCTAGAAATTCAAAAACTAATGTTAGTTTATTACCAAAGATTGCTGCTTAGAAAAAAAGATTAATAGAAAATGTAGGAAATATTAGTTTAAAATATGAAGATAATGTTGTTTAATTAGCATTAGAAAGGAAAAGAGCAGCTTTATTGAAAACTGAAAATTATGATGAAGAAGAAGCAAAAAGAAAATTTACAGAAAGAGGATTATAAATATGTGAAAATTTTACAAGAGATAAATGTAGAAATGTTTAATGTTAAAAAACTCATTTTAGAAAGATACTTAAAGCAAATACATAAACTAAATTAGGTAATTGTACATATTTGGATTAATGTCCTGAATAAGAATAATGTAAATATATACATTATATTCTTGATGGAAATGATGTTGATTGGTAAAAAAGAGTTTAAACAGCTTTATCTAATCATAAGACTATGGCACCTCAATGGATTAATTGTGATTTAAGAATATTTGATTTTAGAGTTCTTGGAAAATTTGATGTTATTATGGCTGATCCTCCTTGGGATATACATATGAATTTACCTTATGGAACATTAAAAGATAAAGAAATGAAAGCATTAAGAGTTGATTTATTATAAAATGATGGAGTTATTTTCTTATGGGTAACAGGAAGAGCAATGGAATTAGGAAGAGAATGTTTAATTCTTTGGGGTTATAGAAGAGTTGAAGAATTAGTTTGGATTAAAGTAAATCAATTACATCGTATTATCAGAACAGGAAGAACAGGTCATTGGCTTAATCATAGTAAAGTATATTTTTATTATTAAATCTTATAGGAACATTGTTTAATTGGAATCAAAGGAAATCCTTCAATAATCAAAGGATTAGATTGTGATGTAATAGTCTCAGAAGTTAGAGAAACTTCCAGAAAACCTGATGAAGTTTATGGTATGATTAATAGAATGTGTCCAAATGGAAAAAAAGTAGAATTATTTGGAAGACCTCATAATTGTAGACCTAATTGGATAACTCTAGGTAATTAACTTCCAGGAGTCTATCTCAAAGATGAAGGTATAAGACAAAGGTATTTTAATCTATCTAATTATCATAGATTTATGGAAGCTTATCCAAGTGTAGATATTTCAGAAAATAATATGAATGATAATTTGAATTAGATGACAAATTAAGAAAACTTAAATGTAATTTATAACAATCATATTGGAAAAAAGGAATGAATTATAAAATAATAAAATTAATAAACTTTTAGTCTTATATTACTAAATTATCATAAACAATATAATCATCAATTAAACCTCAACTTTATCAGATCTCTATGATTTCATATTATTTTAATCTCTCTTCATAAACTTCAAATACTTCATTTTATATAAATAATTCGTAATTCAACATATCCAAAAATTCCATCTCTAGTTTATTTATTTCCTTTAATGATAGCCCTCCCACTTTTGCATAATATTCATTCTTATAGTATTCATCATCATAATACTTTATTGCCACCATTATAGATACTATTATAAATCAATAAACTATTACAAGTTCATACCTATGTATACAATTTGAATTAAGCACTACATCTTAATGCATTTCTTAAACTTTATCTAGATATATTAATGCAAGAACAAAGCAAACACTGTTGCAATTTGTGTATTTTGCAATTCTCTGTATGTAATTTTGAATTGATATAGATGGTGCTCGTGAGGCATGGAATACGGATACCTATTACAAACTCAATTAATCAGTTTCCTTTAAAATTTCTTCCAAAATTTTAGCAATTGTGATAAGCAACTAATTTATGGGTTGCATTGAAAAAAATTAGATATTTATCGAATGATTTTATTTATTTATATAAATTAAATAAATCATCATTATTTAACCTCATTCATAATTTATATAACTCATAAGCATATCATAGACAGAAGGTTGGTTTTACATGTCTTAATGTTCCTAATTTTATTAAATAAATCCTTAAGGTGCTATCTAAAATTAAGGAGCAAACATTGAACTAGTAATATTTTAATTTATAGTTTATGATTTGGATAAATCTTGTTAGAGAGATTAATTTTAATAATTGAATTATAATGGCTTATTTAAAAATTGTTATTATTATTATTATTGCTAATCTAATTTTATTTATTATAATCTTAATTATTCTTATTTTATTTATTATTCTTATCTTAATTATTCCAATTATATTTATTCTTATCTTAATTTTTCTTATTTTATTTAATCTTATTTCAATTATTCCTATCTTAATTATTCTTACTTTAATTATTCTTATCTTATTTAATCTTATCTTATCTATTCTTATTTTATTTAATCTTATCTTATTTATTCTTATTATTATTTCATCTAGTCTAATTTAATTTTCTACTGAATAAGAATTTCCTAATTATTTTGTAATTTTTATTAGACTCTTTCTTATTAAGATTGATTAATATTAGATTATTAATTACTTGTTTCTATTTTATCATTATTTCCATTCATTTTATTTTATTGATGATTTACAATTTATGTTTATGTTTAAGATATAATNAAACCTCAACTTTATCAGATCTCTATGATTTCATATTATTTTAATCTCTCTTCATAAACTTCAAATACTTCATTTTATATAAATAATTCGTAATTCAACATATCCAAAAATTCCATCTCTAGTTTATTTATTTCCTTTAATGATAGCCCTCCCACTTTTGCATAATATTCATTCTTATAGTATTCATCATCATAATACTTTATTGCCACCATTATAGATACTATTATAAATCAATAAACTATTACAAGTTCATACCTATGTATACAATTTGAATTAAGCACTACATCTTAATGCATTTCTTAAACTTTATCTAGATATATTAATGCAAGAACAAAGCAAACACTGTTGCAATTTGTGTATTTTGCAATTCTCTGTATGTAATTTTGAATTGATATAGATGGTGCTCGTGAGGCATGGAATACGGATACCTATTACAAACTCAATTAATCAGTTTCCTTTAAAATTTCTTCCAAAATTTTAGCAATTGTGATAAGCAACTAATTTATGGGTTGCATTGAAAAAAATTAGATATTTATCGAATGATTTTATTTATTTATATAAATTAAATAAATCATCATTATTTAACCTCATTCATAATTTATATAACTCATAAGCATATCATAGACAGAAGGTTGGTTTTACATGTCTTAATGTTCCTAATTTTATTAAATAAATCCTTAAGGTGCTATCTAAAATTAAGGAGCAAACATTGAACTAGTAATATTTTAATTTATAGTTTATGATTTGGATAAATCTTGTTAGAGAGATTAATTTTAATAATTGAATTATAATGGCTTATTTAAAAATTGTTATTATTATTATTATTGCTAATCTAATTTTATTTATTATAATCTTAATTATTCTTATTTTATTTATTATTCTTATCTTAATTATTCCAATTATATTTATTCTTATCTTAATTTTTCTTATTTTATTTAATCTTATTTCAATTATTCCTATCTTAATTATTCTTACTTTAATTATTCTTATCTTATTTAATCTTATCTTATCTATTCTTATTTTATTTAATCTTATCTTATTTATTCTTATTATTATTTCATCTAGTCTAATTTAATTTTCTACTGAATAAGAATTTCCTAATTATTTTGTAATTTTTATTAGACTCTTTCTTATTAAGATTGATTAATATTAGATTATTAATTACTTGTTTCTATTTTATCATTATTTCCATTCATTTTATTTTATTGATGATTTACAATTTATGTTTATGTTTAAGATATAATTGATTTAGGCACATATGGACATTCATCATCTTCATATTTTGGTACATAGATATATTTTGGCTAATATATATTTTATTAGATTGTATTAGATTTGTTATTCACTTATTAATTTCTACGTCCATCTTATTTTTTGTTATTTCTATCATTATCAAATATTTCATATTTTCTATTTTAATAATTAAATTTTCTTGGAGATATTTCTCTCTTTCGATCTCCTGAGGCATTTCTTCTTTAGTTTTTTTAATTGTTTTCATTATAACGAGATTATCTTTATTAACTATTTTCTTGTTCTCGTTTATTAGTCACAGATTATGATCTCTTTGGTGTTTGATTATTTTCATTAGATTTAGACATTTTATAAATGAGTGTTTTCCTTTTGCTTGTTATTTCAATCCAATCATCTTCATCATTGTCTTATTAATTTTAGTTTTAGATTTAAATGCTAATGAATTCATTTGCAATCTCTCTATTGAAATCGAACTGCTTATAAATTTTGTACAAAGCAAATTTCTTTTTAATTGTAAATTGAATTTACTTAGAAACTAGGATATTATTGAGATATTAATTTAATGTCTTATTTGATTTCCTAACTCAATTTATTTTTGTTTTCCTAATATTCTGCTTCATATTTTTCTTTAATGGCTTTATTACCTCCTTTCATCTATTCTTCTTATTAAATTCTTTTCTTTTCAGCTTCCCTTTGCAATCTCTCTGCAATATTCATATTCTAAAATGACAAATAATTTAATTAATTTTTAGCTAATATGCAAAATATTTTTAAATTATCATTCAAATTAATCCAATCTGACCAATTAAAAACTTCTATTTTACATTCTCTATCAATTAAAATACATCTTTTTAACATTCTATAAATTTGATATAATCTACCTATCTTTTAAGCAAATGAATATTAAAAAACATTTGTTTATTTTATATCATATACGAAATTAAACAATAAATAAATAAAACTGTCAAAATATAAATGAAATTTTGAAGTATATTTGTATATTTATATTTTTTGTAAAGTATTAATGGGTTGTTCCATATCAAAAGAGGAGAAAGGATAAAAAGAATGTTTAAAGGAATTAAGAAAAGAATACAGATCTAATAGTTTATATAAAAGGAACTATAGTATTGTTTATAAGCAAAACTAAAGTCAAAATTCATTTATGAATGATCACTGATGTTATTATTTTTAATTATTACATACTGTTATCTATTTTGATTACCTTTACTGAAATAACAAATTTTGACTCTAAATCAAGTGTCTTTGTACTTTCAGTAAATATATTTATCATTCTTTGTTAATTAGGATATATTGTTCTTAATAATTAATAAATGAGATTCATTATATTCTCAAAAAGTAATTCTGATATTATTTCTTATTAACTTCTTGATATTAATTTCATGATTTAAATTCGTATAATATTTTCTAATAATCTTTCTATGAATTAATTTAACATGACCATATTGTATCAAAATTTTTAAAAAACTTTCATTAAAAATACAAAATAAATACTATTCAATCTAGAATTAATTTAAAAAAAATCATTATTTTAATATGAAAGACCTAAATTCATATAAATTTTAGCTATCTCATATCATCAACAATATACTTATTATATTATTAAGAGCAAAAAATGATATTAAAATATTACCCTCTATATTAATATTGTTATATTATTATTTTAATATATTTGCTTAATTAACAATAAGTATATTATAAAAATTTCCCATTTTTATACCTAAATAATTTTTAATTTATGAATAGATTATCCTAATTGAGTGGACATTATGATGAAGAGTAAAAATTACAATAGTCGATAATTGAATTGGATAAGTAATCACCCATAATTATTTCATTAAATAGTTGGTTCAAGAGTCCACGTTTCAATAATGTTTTGCGTCCATACACAGCTAAATAGGTAGCTGAAGTAAGAGGATCAATTGTACCTAATCAATACTCTGATTTTATGGCAAGGAAATTCTATAATCTTATGATGGATTTAAAAAAAAGCAAAGGGTATTTAATAATAATCATAATAGATTCTCTCTTGCTTGTGGAGCATTAGATACTGTTTAGGTTATCAACATGTCTAAATATATGACATCAATATATGTATCAGGTTGGCAATGTTCTTCATCAGCTTCTACAACAAATGATCCAGGTCCTGATTTTGCTGATTATCCATATGACACTGTGCCTAAGAAATGTGATTAGTTAGTCAAAGTAATCATAACATTGATGGTAGATGCAAAGATTTTAAGACAGAAGGTAGTAATATGAAAGAAGTTTAATTACTGCTGAATAACGAAAATAAAAAAAACCTTATGATTATCTAGTTCCTGTAATTTGTGATGCAGATGCTGGATTTGGTGGTACAAGTAGTGTAATGAAATTGACTAAATTATTTATTGAATCTGGAGCTGCAGGAATACATTTGGAAGATTAAAGACCTGATTTGAAAAAATGTGGTCATATGGCAGGAAGGGTTGTGACATCAACTAATACTCATGTCTAAAAACTTATAGCTTCTAGACTTCAAGCAGATATGATGGGAAATGAATTATTTATTATTGCAAGAACTGATGCATTAGGTGCACGATTTATAGAAACAAATGTAGATTTAATTGATTAACCATACATTCTTGGTTTAACTAAATTTCATAATAAACCTTGCACTTATCCAGAAGCAGGAGTTTTTATTATTGAACAAATAATTGATAAAGAAAAGAGAATATAAGCCACTAATTAATGGTTAAATCAATGTGAAATTGGGGGAATAAAAAAGGCCAAAGATTTAGCCAAGAGATTAGGATTTGAACTCGATTTTGATTGGGAATAATGTAGAAATCCTGATGGGTTCTATGCTCTTAAAAGTAGTGTTCATTATTGTGCAATAAGAGCTAAAGTACTTAATATTTATTAATATAGGAATATTTAAAATATGCAGATGCTTTATGGATGGAAACTTCAACACCTGATTTAAAAGTTGCTAAAGAACTCTCTGATGAATTATAATTTGAACTTTAAAATAATAAAGTCCTTTGTTATAATTGTTCTCCAAGTTTTAATTGGAGCAAATTTGGATTCTCAGATAGTGAACTCAAAAACTTTAATTCTGAATTAGGCAAATTAGGATATACTTGGCAAGTATATTAATTTATTGATATTTAACTAGTTTATTACATTAGCAGGATTTCATTTGAATGCTTTACAAAGTGAAAGATTTTCAAAAGATTTATCAGAAAGATATATGTTAGCTTATGTAGAAGATATTTAAAGAAAGGAAGAGAAACATAATGTTGATTAATTAAGACATCAAAAGTAATATAAATTATATATATTTATTTAGATGGTCTGGAGCTGAATTAATTGATCATGTCATGACTATTGTTAATCAAAGTACATTAATATCTTCAGGTGAAGACTCAACTGAACATTAATTCGACAACAAATGATTATGTGTTAAATAAATATATAATGATATCAAATATATCAAAATAGAAGACAAGCAACATATTCATCAGATCTTGAAGCTTTATTCTTCTCAAAATTTAATAAGCATTCTTTTAAAATTTAATCTAACTCTATCTTACTTGTGATCGAACCCCAAGCAGTTGTTTAAGTTTATTTTGGATCATAAATTGAATTATCATTCATAATTCTTGGAGAATAATATTATGATTAATCCATTTTCTAATTCTTAATCTATTATGAATCTTCTAACTAATTTTATCCAAGTTTTGGTGTTTCAGCGTTCAACTAGTTTTATTCTTCTTTTCTTTTGCATTCTTATACTCTTGTAATACGAACAGTATATGACTTCTTATTTCTTATTTCTCCTGATATATTGCAACTATTATCGTTTTTAATGGTTTCATGTTCTGTAAAGGAAAATGCTCTCTTTTTAGATATTTACTAAATTCCTTACTAATTTTAGTGTTATTAATCTTCTTGTCTAGGAGATTATTCAAATGAACTGAAAATATGTGTATATTAATTTTCACTAACACTTTGAAAATTTTCTAATGGAGCCATCTTAAAAACGGGATTCTAACTATTGTAAATACATTTTCATAATACAATTTTGTATTATCAATATTATGTATTACATTAGATTGTGATGAATCTATTTTTGCACTACCATTTGAGATTGACTTTGATTCTTTCATATTTCCTGTATAATTCTCTATTTATAGCATTTATCAATTAGATTGTATCGATTATAAAATATATAATAATTCTCTTTTATTTAGTTAATTAGAATATATTTATTAATTAATCATATATTTTTTAAATGTATTAATATAGAAATCAGGTAAAAATATCTTAAAATGCATTTATCAATTTCTAAATTAAAGAATTTTATTTATTATTCTCTAATCCTATAAAAATAATCATTTTCTAATTAGGCATTAATTCAAATTTTATTATTCCATCTATATTATAATATTACAATGAAAATTAAGCAAAATATTTAATTTCATCCAAACCTTAAATATAACTATCTATTTTTTCTGGATTTGTCATAGAAAAAGATTCATTTAATTTAGTGATATCTTTATGATTAGATAATATTAATGTGTTGTATTCAAATACTTCTGATCTATATATCTTAGAATTTTTCCACTTTCTTTGATATCCAATTTTACTTATTCTATGATATTGAATCATACTTAGAATTTTTAAAGGCAATAATACCTATTATATCTTATTACTAAATTATAAATATCATATTATTTACTTATAATTAACTTCCAATAATGGAGTTTCAAATATTTCTGATTATTGTAATTTAATACTAACTTCCAAAAGTATTTATTACTTTTTTTATAAATTTTATTAAATTTCTAATTAAGATGCCCAAATAGTTTCAAAATTCATGAAATTCTTCATATAAGCTTTTAAATTTAAATTCTATAAATCTGTTTTAAAATATAAACCATAATTGATATAATAATTTGACCCATTTTTTTGTATATATTTTTATGCTGCTATTTTTAAATCTTAATTATCAACAAAAATTGTATTATTTATTTTATTTAGATGATACATTTTATATAGTATCAAATTATTTTGATTACCAACTAAATTTGGTATAATCCTTTTAAATTAAATAACAATTCCTTTATGAGGTTAAATCTTCTTTTCATAATATTCTTCTGCTGTAAGATATGGATATATAATATCACTTTATACAAGTACCTTAATTTATTATGTTCTTATAAATAAATTCTTTATATTTTCAATAAAATCAACTTATAAATTTTAAAAGTGTTAATAACCAGAATATGGAATACTAGTTAAAGGTTTTTCTTGCTTTTTTGCACTTACTGGATAAATAGCTTATGAAAAGTTTTATTTACTTGAAATTGATTCTGGGGATTAAACTTATACATATTCAAAACCAGTTTCCTTAATCTTAGACAAATCAAGTTTATTATTAAATAATTGTTATTAAGATTCAATTTATATTTGATCCTATTTCTATTATATTATCTATTATTCTAATTATTAATTTAATTCTTAGATTTTGTTCTTTAAAATAGAAGATTCATTTCTAAGTTTCTCATTCTCACTAAATGAAATTTTTAATTTTTGTTCTAGAAGATTAAGTTTCTCTTTAAAAGAATTTTCTTCTATCTTCTTGGATGTTTCTAAAGATAAAAGTAATTATTTATAATTTTAAATTTCTGCTTAATGTTTTTATTGAACTTAAAT